GCATCTATCAGTGCTCTCTCTGTCCCAAGGAGTTTGATTCTCTGCCTGCCCTGCGCAATCACTTCCAGAACCACAGGCCGGGGGAGGTGGCCTCGGCACAGCCCTTCCTCTGCTGTCTGTGCGGGATGATCTTTCCTGGGAGGACTGGCTACAGGCGCCACCTGCGCCAGGCTCACGGTGCTTCTGGCCTGCCCGAGGGCTCGGAAGAGGAGGAGGAGGAGGAGGAAGGCACAGCAGAAGCAGCCTCTACCCACAATCCTCCCCTACAGCTCTCAGAAGCAGAGCTGCTGAATCAGCTACAGCGGGAAGTGGAAGCCCTGGATGGAGCAGGTTATGGGCACATTTGTGGCTGCTGTGGTCAGACCTATGATGACCTGGGGAGCCTGGAGCGTCACCACCAGAGTCAAAGTTCCAGCAGTACGACCGAGAATGTTCCTAGCCACTTGGAAGGATCAGGTGATGTGATAGAAATGGTTACAGATCATGTCTTTGAGGGTACAGGGACCTCTGTCTCAGAAGAGGGGGGGGACACAAAGTCTGAGGAGGGAGTAGGTAGCACAGTTGCTGCAGACACCCTTTGCATGCAGGCTGGGGAAAGCTTTCTGGAGTCCCACCCCCGCCCTTTCCGATGTAACCAGTGTGGCAAGACCTATCGCCATGGAGGCAGCTTGGTGAACCACCGAAAGATCCACCAGACAGGTGACTTCATCTGCCCTGTCTGTTCCCGCTGCTACCCCAACCTGGCTGCCTACCGGAATCATCTGCGGAACCACCCTCGCTGCAAAGGTTCAGAGCCCCAAGTGGGGTCTATCTCAGAGGCAAGAGACAGCAGCGAACCCCAGAATGCGGCAGAGACAGGGCAGGAGCAGGCATTGGTAGGGCAGCTCCAGGAAGAACTTAAAGTGGAGCCCTTGGAGGAGCTGGCAAGGGTGAAAGAAGAAGTGTGGGAGGAGACCACTGTGAAGGAGGAGGACCTGGAGCAGAGGCTGGAGACGGCCGAGAAAGGCTGTCAAACTGAAGTTAGCTCTGAGCGGCCCTTTAGCTGTGAAGTGTGTGGCCGTACCTACAAGCATGCCGGCAGCCTCATCAATCACCGGCAGAGCCACCAGACTGGCCACTTCGGCTGCCAGGCCTGCTCCAAGGGCTTTTCAAACCTCATGTCCCTTAAGAACCACCGGCGCATCCATGCAGACCCTCGACGCTTCCGCTGCAGTGAATGTGGGAAAGCTTTTCGCCTGCGGAAGCAGCTGGCCAACCACCAGCGGGTCCACACTGAGCGACGGAGGGGTAGGGGCGCTCAGAAGCTGATTCGTGAGGATCGGCCTTTCAGGTGTGGGCAATGTGGCCGGAACTACCGCCATGCTAGCAGCCTCCTGAACCATCAGTGCGCCCATGAGACAGGCCAGTACAGCTGCCCCTTCTGTTTTAAGACCTATTCCAACCGCACAGCCCTGAAAGACCATCAGAGGCTGCATTCTGATAGCCGCCGGCGGCGGCCACCCCGGAGGGCAGCAGCCGTGCGTTGTACCCTTTGTGGCTGTGGCTTTCCTGGCCAGGGATCTCTGAAGCGGCATCTGCAGGAGCATGAGGAGACCAAACTGGGGCTGGCCAGTGGCCAGGAAGGCCCACATGGTACCGAAGGCAGTAAGGAGAACCTTGCTGATGCCTGGGGACTGGAGGGCAGATCAGAAGGTACTCAGTCAGGACTGCAGCTGGAGCCTGGAACCAAGAGACCTGGGGAGCACAATCAGAGTCCCAGCAGGCCAGCACGTTCAGAGGTCCCAGAATCTTTTTCCTGGGAAGTGGGGAAGGTAGATGGGCATCAAGGAGACAGGGGACAAATGAATCACAATGGTGCCTGGGTTCTTCAGGATCAGTTAACCAAGCCGGAAGGCAAGTTGGAAGACACAGTCTCCAGGAATCTTTGTCAGCTCCCTGAGAGCCAGTCCAATGGTCCTACTGCAAGTTCCATAGATAGCTGGGATGGTGGAGACAGCAGCTCTCAACTCCAACCAGAGAGCCTCCCCTATTGCTGCAGCCAGTGTGGAAAGACCTACTGCCAACCTGATGGCCTCTTGAACCCCAAGAAAGACTGTCACAGTTGTTTGCCCTGTCCCAAAGAGTTACTGAATCCTGTGACCACTAAGCTCCACAACCACATTGCTGCCCAGACCTTTGCTTGTAGTAACTGTAGCGAAGTGTTTGAGACCCACAGTGAGCTGGCCACACACATGCAGACTCATGCTGTTGACCATAGGCAGGTGTCAAGTCAGGCAGGCGACACCAGAGATCCGCAAGCCGGGATGGGAGAGGTGGATGCCCCTGGTCCAGGGAAAGCTCAGGAGGCCCCACCCGAACCTCCCAGAGACCCAGAAGAGAATGGGGAGCCAGCTAATGGAGGACAAGGAACCAATTTCACAGCAGCTGAAGACAAGGAACGTCCCTTTTGCTGTGCCCAGTGTGGGCGTTCCTACCGCCATGCTGGCAGCCTGCTGAACCACCAAAAGGCTCACACCACTGGACTCTACCCCTGCTCCCTGTGTCCCAAACTTCTGCCCAACCTACTCTCTCTCAAGAACCACAGCAGGACCCACACGGACCCCAAGCGCTACAGCTGCAACATCTGCGGCAAGGCTTTCCGAACAGCTGCCCGGCTCCAGGGCCACGGGCGGGTTCATGCTCCCCAGGAGGGACCGTTCACCTGCTCTCATTGTCCCCGCCATTTTCGCCACCGAATCAGCTTCCTGCAGCACCAGCAGCAGCACCAGGAGTGGACAGTGTCCAGCTCAGGTATGTGGGGTGAGTGGGTTGAGGAGAGGATTGAGAGGACCCGGAAAGAGGTGGGCGCCCCGTGGAGAGAGAGCATAACCCTGAGTCGGTAAGGGAAGCAAGGAGAGTGTAAGTGGTGGGAGGCCTGGACAGACTGACGAGTTTGGAACGATTTTGAGCCACTGAAGGATGGATCTTGGGTCAGGAAGATGGACACTATGGTAGATGGGACAGTGGTGTGGACTCTTCTGTAGCCAAAGACGAATGGCCTTGTTCTTTGAGTGGGCAGAGGTATCTGGGAATGGCCTTGTTCTTTGAGTGGGCAGAGGTATCTGGGAACTACCACATCTGGCTATCTTGATGTAGCCAGTAATGATTTCCAGAGGAGAGGGATGAAATGGGCTTTGTTTCGGTTCCGGTCTTTCCTAGAGTGGGCAGGAAGCTGGAGAATGAGGAGGAGGGGTGGGGGAGAGTTGCAGACTCCTGGGTTGTCCTGCAGGGCTAAGGCAAAGGGGGGGTCTGCCTGCTCAGGTGGTGACTTGTGGCGGGCTGCTGTACTGCTGACGAGGCCAGTTTGCTGGCTGACTGGTCAGTACTTACGCTTCTGTCCCTCTTCCCCATAGTTGGTCTCGGCCTTGCTTTCTTGGAAGTGAGGCCTCTGGTCCTTCTGTGAGTGCTGTACTGAGTTTTTTGGTTCTTCCTTAACCTTTTCCATCTCCTTCTGATACAGATCTTGTAAGAACCAACCAAACTGCCCTCTGCCAGCACCTTCCCCGGACCCAGCCTTTTAGCTGAAGGGCTGACTCATAGATAATTGTTTCTTTGAAGACAGGCCCAGCAGCAGTCATTAGCTTTATCTCTCATCCTCTATAACAGTGACTCTCGGGTAACACTGCTCCACCCAGCCCACTGAAGGGCAAAGCTGTGGAGGCACGGGGCAGTCTGTGTACTCAGCACACCTGAGGCTCTTAGTCCCCATCTAGAGAGGAAAATCCATCCCGTCTATAGCCACCCAAGGTGGGCGTCCCTGAAATGGTATGCCCTTGACCAGAGCTTGGCTGAGAAGGACAAAATAGTGGTGCTGGTTCCTGAGAACTGAAGAAATAATTCTCAGAACAGATGGTTTCTTGTGACTTCAAGTAAAATAAGTGAGGAGCTTATCAGCCAAGGCTGTAAAAATACTAGGGGTTCTAGAATTCCTGGGCTTGGTCTTTTTGGTGAGGGGAAGAGGCTGGGCATGGTACCTAAAGCCTTATACACCATAGTTGAATGCTTTGACACTGAGCTTTTCTCCTGGCCTCTTTTTTTTTTTTTTTTTTTTTTGAGACAGGGTTTCTCTGTGTAGCTTTGCGCCTTTCCTGGAGCTCACTTGGTAGCCCAGGCTGGCCTCGAACTCACGGAGATCCGCCTGGCTCTGCCTCCCGAGTGCTGGGATTAAAGGCGTGCGCCACCACCGCCCGGCCCTCCTGGCCTCTTGACCTTCTCTGTGCCTCAGGGCCATGTCAGGGAATGACCCGCAGGTCTGGAGAGGTGGGTTAGGCTCCCTCTGACCTCTTCTCCTCCTCCCCAGGAGCTTCAATGGCACCAGCAACAAGCAGAGGGGACTCCTCTCCAGCCTCACTCCTGGACACCTCGCCCCAGTGGCCTGCAGACCTCAACTTCTCCCTGTGAACTTCACGTCTCCAAAGAACAGTTCACTGAAGCTGGGGATGCAGGCAGGGAGAGGCTTCATCTCCACGTTTTGCTCAGGAGTTGCTTGGGCATCCCCGCCGCCTCTTCCCATGAAGAGGGTCCTGATCTGGTTTCTTTAGCAAGCAGGGCGTAAGGCAGTCTTCATGTCTGTGTCCATGAAGGCTCTCCTTCCTAAGCCCTTGTCACCTTCTCTTCCAGGGCCGGGCTGCCAGAATGCTGGGATGGCCAGGTTCTAACCCAGGGAGAGGCATATTCAGAGGGCGGGCCACAGGTGGGAAGGGGCCTGTGGAGGGGGAGCCTTTTACTATAGTTTGTAACTTATTTTCTAAAATCTATTTTGTAACAATTTATTTAAGTTTTAAAAAAGGAAAATTGCTCCCCACCCCACCCCCTAAAAAAAAACACTTTTTTTTTTTCCACAACAGCTGCTAGTGTTGTGTCTGAAGGACTGTTTAGGGAATACTGGAGACATCTTTGTTGGAAGGCAGAGCTTAGGGGTGGGGTCATGGCCACACATGGAAAGCATCCTTGGGCAGGCTCATTCCCAGCCAGACAGCTGTGGGACCTGCCTCGGGGCTGGAAACCACAAGCCAGGGAGGGGAAGGCATCAGTGTAGAATTGGGTGTTGACGTGGGAGTTGCCTGGCTTTTCGGGCGTCTTGTGAGTAAACTAGAGAGTCACCAGTCAGCACCTGGCTGGTTGGCCTGTCACGGAGAGGAAGGAAATTAATTTGGCCCCATCCCTCCCCGTAGCTTTATTACTTCCCTTGAAGAAGCAGGACCCATCTTGGCCCCTGTGGTGTATGGGAGACCTGAAAACCTAAAGTCCACGTGGGTCTGTCTGTTGCTCACCCCGCACCCCAGGCAGCTAGAGATGAGTCACAGCAGTGTTTCCCTAGACGAGAGCCAGGGCTAAGGAGGAAGAGGGAAGAGCGACACATACTTGAGTTGACCAGACAGCTTCCAGGCTCAGCCTCAGGCTCTGGCTCCTCAGCGAAGTAGACCTGCCAGTCTAGGTGGCTGACCCAGTCCTCATAGGCAGAGAGTGCTGCAAAGACTGCAGGCCTCGAAGGGCCTTGGCAGGTGTCTCCAAAGCTGTGCAGTCCAGCCAGGAACCATGTGCCCCTGACCTCATGGACGAGTGGTGCCCCAGACAGGCCCTGTTAGGGAGCAGGTTACACTGGTAACTTCCTGCAGCAGGTGGGAGGGGCTTGGGGGCTACAGCCTGGTGTTTGGGGGCCAGCTGGTGGTAGGAGGGTTTAGTTTCAGGTGACAAAGCAGGGCCAGCAGCCAGGCTTGGTGGGAAGGTGAGAGATGGCCAGGGGTCTGCTGGGTAAGGGTTGGGGATTTGAACTCACCTCACATTGAGGCAGCTCACCCACAACAGTGGTGCATACCATCCCTGGCAGAATGGGACTGCCCGTGCTCCCAGGGGCTGGATGTTGTTGGCTGCAGGCCGTTGGCCCTAAGACTGTCACAGGTACTGTCTGGGGGTAGCTGTTGCCTGTAAAGCGAAAGACGAGGCTGGATTCCCCGGTTGCCTGCAAGTCCAGTGGACAGCTGCCAGGGTCCCCAGGCACTGTTTACCTGCTCCTGGAGTCAGCCCGAGAACCCAGCCATGTTCACCATCAGGCAGGCGGTGGTCAGCATAGGGCAAGCAAAGGGGCCTCAGGCCAGGGCCTAATGTCACAGGCTGAGCCAGCAGCAGGAGGGCCACATCATAGCCACCCTCGGGGTGGGTGTAGGCCCCGTGCAGAATGAGTTGCTTCAGGCCCCGTTCCTCTGGTCCAGCCCCCAGACCTACACTCCATTCCTCTAGGGTTTGGCGCCTGTTGAGAGGCAGAGTTGAGGCATTGATGGAGCTGGGACCAGGGGCACCAAGGAGGGAGACGGAGGCTCACCCGATGAAGCAGTGAGCAGCAGTCAGCACCACCGCCTCTGACACCAGGGCTCCACCACAAGCCAGCTTCCCGTGGTGCTTCAGCCTGGCATCCCAGGGCCACTGAGAGAGCGCTCCGGCCTGGGGGCCTCCACCCCTCAAGGAGCCGCATGCTGAAATAGGTGCATCACATCACCCAGTTGTTAAGTGGTCACTCGGTGCCAGGGCCTGCGCTGAGTGCTCCTTATGTCGGCAGGGCTTTGCCGACCAAAGGCAACCAAGCTAACACAAAGATTGACCCAGCTCGGGAACCAACACCAAGCATCCCACTTGGGACTCAGAGCCAGTGTGCCTGCTTTTAATCCTGATGTCTGACGGCACACAGTATGCCATGCCAGCCTTACCTGGAAGCTCTGCCTCACTCTGCCACCCACCTGGATTTCCCCAAGCCTGGCTTGCTAGTGCTGCTGTGAACATCAGTACCCAGCTTCCTCCCCGGAATGACTTTGCATGTGATTTGCATTGCAGACACTGCCCTGTCTCACCTCCCTGGGTTTCTGCCTGGGAACTTGCAGCTTCCCCCACACACACACCTCACACCCCCCAAAACCAGCCAGATTTCACAGACACTCATACACCCAAGTCCGTAAAGCTTCCTGGTCCTATCCCAGGAGCTAAAAGGGCCTTAACAAACCTAGTTCTCTCTTGGCAGTGTCTAGACTCAGTGTCTGAGCTGACGTTTGCTCCCTGGTGGCTTTCTACCCCACTGCCCAGGAAGCCTTCATGTGGCCTGGGTGGCCCCATACCCCCCTCTCCCAATACCCGTGCTCAGACCGACCGACACAGCTGTTCTCGTCGCTGGTTTCCACAGTTCCTGGGTCCTGGACCAGGAAAGCTGCCCCATGAACGTGGGCCTCCAGCCATGAACTGTGCGTGGCCATGTCAGTCAGCAGCACAGGAGTGTCCTCTTGGGCACATTTTGACGTGAAGCTAATGATTCCAACTTGGACCCAGTGTCCATCAGGCTCACGGCACATCACAGGTCCCCCAGAATCTCCCTGGAGCCAGACAAAGGAGTCATCTGAGCCCCAACGCTACTAACCAGATGCCTTCTGGCTGTACCCCATCACCCTTCTCTGAAGGCCCCCTTAGCCCAAGACTAGGCCCTCCCTTTTCCCCGTGCTCATCAGACCTGGCAGGGTCCCTGTACCCCGGGCTGTGCACCCCCACACAGCATCCCAGGTCTCGCTGGGCTGGCCAGCAGCCGCTGGTGTAACCGATTGTAGAGACAGTTACAAGTGGGGCGGCTGATGAGACGAAGACGCAGATTCCGCAGGGTCCTGGAAACTGCCAAAGAAGAGAAAGCGGAGTCTGACTCTGG